TATTGGCAAAATATACAATTTCTCAGCTGTTTGCAATAAACAAATGACACAATAATTGTTTAAGTAGTTTAATGAAACTAATATTACAAAGGGTTTGTCCAAATTCAACACAAAATGCTACTTTTAATGACTTTAATGAATTTACTGCAGTCTCAAAATGATTCAACCCCTTCATGACAAGCATCTTCAGTACTTAGTAGATCACCCTTTGCTGTCATGACCTGCTGCAAACGTGATGCATACCCAGACACCAGCTTCTGACAGCGTTCCTGAGGAATCTTAGCACATTCCTCACGGGCAATGGCCTCCAGTTCAGTAATATTCTTTGCGTTTTGCAACCGCCTTCTTCAAATCCCACCAGATATTTTCGATGGGGTTCAAGTCAGGCGACTGTGACGGCCACTCTAGAATCTTCCATTTCTTCTTCTGAAACCAAGCCTTGGTGGACTTTGAGGTTTGCTTGGGATCATTGTCCTGTTGGAAGGTCCAATGACGCCCAAGTTTCAGCTTCATCACAGACAGCATGCCGTTTTTTCCCTAAGATTTCCTGATATTTGACTGAGTTCATCGTGCACCCACACGCTGCAGGTTTCCAGTGCCAGAGGCAGCAAAGCAGCCCCAGAGCCACCGCCAGGCTTCACTGTAGGCAGGGTGTTCTTTTCAGCATATGCTTCATTCTTCTTCCTCCAGACATAGCGCTGATCCATAGGCCCGAATAGTTCTAGTTTTGTCTCATCGCTCCACAGAACAGAATTCCAAAACTTCGGTGGCTTATTTATATGGTTTTCAGCATATTGGAGCCGACTTTTCTTGTGCTGATGGGTCAGTAGTGGTGTGCGTCTTGGAGTCCGGGCATGGAACCCTTCAGTTTTTAGTATGTCACTCTAGCCAGACCAGGTATTTATGTGTTCTACCAATAAACCTAATGTGCAATGGGGGGTTGAATAATTTTGATTGCAACTGTAGCACTGAGGAATAGCACTTGTCTCTGGAAGGCCACAAGTGCAAGGTGGGAAGCTGATGCCATCCATGCCAATGCACCAGTTAGCCGTTCACCAGCAGAGGCCCTGGCACCAGGAGGCAAAAAGTTGGAATAAATAAATGTTGATTTGTAAATATACACAGGATTTTTCGGTATTTGGTCTTCAGTGCTTTTCTATCTCTGAATTGCTACCTAAAAGTAACACACCCACACCAAGACGGCACGTGGCATTTACTTAAAAGAGAACTATCGGTAGTCTAAAAGAGGGCGTCAACAGGAAACGTATGAACACTGGCACTCTTGGGACGAAGAAACATGTCAGTAAAAAGTCATGAATTGAACACACACTTTGAAATTGTAATGTAATTGTCATGTTTTTTACAGGAAAAAGAAAAACACGGTTTATAAAAGCCAGTGAGGACATTATATAAAGAGGGGAAAAAAAGGTGTAGAATTAAGAGTAAGAGAATAGAAAAATGACATCAGATGTAACCAGATGAAAGACGATCACTCAGCAGTTCTCAGACGCTGATCCTCGCGCCTTCCCGTCTTTCCAAATGACTCCAGTTCATCCGCGTTCAGCGGAGTGAACTCCTCCACCCGAGCACTCAGCTGGCACTGTTCCCTCCACCTGAGGTCTGTCTGCATCGTGCATGTTCCTTTCCCCATCTCCTCCTCCTCCTCTCTCTGTGAATTTACAGACGGCTTTGTTGTCATTGTGATATTATATATTGTGTATATGAGACGCACTCTTTTCCTCTGAGTGAATTCTTTACAGCTTGTTGTTTGAGATGCGTTGGCTTGTTTGTTCCAATGAAAGCTCCTTTGGGTTAAGACAGTTTTCCTCATTCCTTTGCTTAAGCTCCCCGTTCTCCTCCCTCTCCTCCTCACCCTTCACTTTGCTGCTCTTCTCTCTTCCACCTTTCTCTCCCGTCCCCTCGCTGCTTTTGTCAATCCCTTTCCCTCATTTTTATTCCCCTTCCTGCGCTTTTTGTTGAGTTTCTTACTTGCCTTTAAAGCACTCAGGGACAAAAAAAAAACCTCCTCTGACAAGTATATCAAATCCGAGATTTTCGTTATTGCACCGAGGCAAATAATTGATGGAGAGTGGATTTGTGCATCCAGCGCGCCGCGTTCATTTCATGTGGTATGAAAATACCGGCGCTCCATGCCCTGCACATGCGGTCTTATATAAACGGACACCACTGACACCAGGAACCACTTGATGGGTTAAAAGCACAGCTTGTTGAATGTGTGATTTAAAAAAAAATGCACTTGAGATTTGGTTTTATACACTACATTTTTGTTTCTCGTATCAATATGCCGCTGAATCTGAAATCTGTGAATAAAAAAACCATATTGTCCACCCAGTAGTCCTTCATAGTGCAGAAAACAAAGAGATTTTGTGTCTTCAATAGGCTCTGGATGGGAAGAAAAAACGGCCTATTGGGAGTGTGAAGGATTTCATAGAAGTAAGATAAATCCTTTCTACCTCTGATATTTCATTATTTGCCCCTTTTTGTGAGCCAGAAATGACACCTAAAAGGGCACAATGCATCTAGTGTGGGACCAATTTGTACCTTGACTGAACTATTATTACACAACTCCAGGGAGGGTAATTAGCCACAGTGGAAGCAGGACATTTTTCAGACTTTTGTTAAACTTGGTTTAAAATTCCCTGTGTGACTTTGTTGGCTCCTTTTCGTGAGGAAATGTACAAGTAACCTTGTGGGAAGCGTCTTACAGGGGGGCCCACATTTTGTCATATTGAACATATGGAAGGAAACGTTGGTAGAAATGGGTTTAGCTTTAGTCAGTGTATTCTCCCCCACGTGTCGGCGCTCCCGTAGTGTGCAGCCTATATCGCAATAACGCGCTCCAACATGTAGCCGCATATGGAACACCAGATGCAAGTCAATTCATCATTATCGTCATGAGGTCATCCTGTTTTCTGCATCTTGACACACAGCATTTTGGCACCGAGTCAGAGGAGACGTGTGTGTGTGTGTGTGTGTGTGTGTGTGTGTGTGTGTGTGTGTGTGCGCGTTCTGTAGGTCTAGAGCTGTGATGATGAGGATGATGCATTCTATCCCCATTAGTCTTAGCCTAGATCTGTCAGAGCCTTGTTGGGTAACTGCCTGGTAAAATCTCATCCCTGAGGAACAATGGGATGGGCCAAACGCACACACACACACACACACACATACACACACTTACGCCCTTGTGCATATGTTCCCAAGACAAAACCGCGTTTCACCGTTCCTCACACGCACACAAACACGCATACACACCCGTACCTGGAAACCCTTGTCAGAACAGAACAGTGTGTTGTCTTCATCATAGCTTAGTTTTGATTGACATCATACTTCCCACCCGGCATTGGCGGTTGCCCGCCTCCCTTTTCGTCTCATCTCCTCATCAGACAGCTCGGCGGGCTGACGTACGTTTGTTTTCTTCTTTCAACTCGGCTATTTGACCCGAGCGCACCGAAGACAGACGAAACCCAAACAGCTGATTATGCAGCGCCGGATTGACCTCGTTTAGGATGCGGCCGCCAAGTTGTGTGTGTCTATGAGCTGAGACCGAGGCCGGTGCCGGTGGCGTCACACACCCGTTTTTTTCCGTTTGCTCTGAGAGGTGAACCATCGTCTCGTAGAGTGACACTCTGATGGACGCCCTCTTCGCGTCGCACAATACTTTCATAGGTGGTTTGATTACCTGCCGGCCGTCCTGCGTTCTCCTCGTTCTGTGCGCAGACATCTTCCCATTCGCGCTCTCCTTCACGCACACACAACGCTGCTTCTAATTGACATCTCTGCCATTAATTTGCTGTGACACACGGCCTCCCCCCACACACTCAGCCAGCCAGTCGCATGTCGTCTCAAGCCCTAAAGCCCCGTTTGGTCTCTAAGCAGCACGGGGGGGCCGGGGGGGGGCGGGGCGGGGGGCTGTACAGTCAGACAGCTCGTGCTTTTAGTGTCTTTCGGCGCAGATTTCTGTCATTTGTTGTCGTGAGTCTTGTCGTGCTTTCTTTCCAGCCGTTCGGTTCTTTTATCAACATTCGCCCCCACGGCCCAGAGTGCACTTCAGCCGGGTACAAGAATCCCCCCCCCCCCCTCCCTACTCTGGGTTACCCAGAAAGCCTTTCACATATTGCAGCTCTTTTCTCATGATGGGTGCGATAAAGTGTTCTCCATACGCCCACTCATGGTGGGGGGGGGGGTGTTATACTCAGGTCCGAAGTTATTGTGATGGCGGCCCGGGCTGCTTCTGGTTTCTTCCCGCTTGGCCATTTTCCCCTCGACAGTTAGGGAGGCCTGCTGTCTTTTCAGAGAGGGGGGGGGGGGGGGGGAAACCGCCGGCTCCCAGGTGAACCGAGGAGTCGGCACACGACGACGAAGGACAACCGGCGATTTCTCTGCATACCTTTTTTTTTAAATGGTCTCTTCACTTTTCTCCAGGTGCATCAGAAACCCATTAGCTTGTGTATTTCCGTATACGCCGAACCAATCGCACCGCTCCATCCGACGACCTTCACTGCGGCTGTTTTTAATTGGTCGTGAAGTAGCGAGCAGTACAACAGCTTCCGCCCTGTTGCGTGCGGGACGTTGATTTCTATATGGCATTGCGTGGTCTGCAGGTTACTGCATGTGTTCTTGTGTGTTGGTCATCGCGCTGCGTCCTGTACGATGCAGCCGGACTCCAGAGTGCAGAGATGGAGACGGGTCTGCGGACAGGGACTTTGCCTCGGGCGTATTTTTAAACGCTGATGGATCCGACTTACGAGGGCGGTACGCACCGGCGAGAGAACAGCAATAATTAATGACGCATAGAAAGCACAAGGAGGCCCACAGAACAAGTCTTGGTCATTTACTTTCATACGCATATGCATTTTTACCCTCGCTCACATGTCTCTCCCTCTCTCCCTCTCTCTCTCTCCCTCTCTCTCTCTCTCTCTCTCCCTCTCTCTCCCTCTCTCTCTCTCCCTCTATCTCTCTCTCTCTCCCCCCCTCTGCAGGTGCAGGAAAATGTCTTCCTTGATTTTAACCACCAGGAGCTTCTCGACTTCTACAACCAGGTCCGTTATTTGTTTGTGCCATTGCATGATATTGTGTGTGTGTTAGTGCGGTTTTCTTTTGTGTGTATTTTTGTGTTTTTTTTTCCCAAAAACTCAACTCTTCTCTTTTCTTTCTTCCCAGCTTGAAACCGTTCAAAGCCAATTGGATACCCCTGACATGATGCCTGGTGCTCTTTATCCAACCCAACGCACACACACAAGCACACACACACACACACACACACGCACACACACACGCACACACACACACACACACACACACAGACAGTTAGATTTTTTGCTGACAGCTATGCCAGCTGTCGGAGGTCTAGAAATTCCATTCTTTCTGTGATTCATTTGAAAAAACGATCAAACTTTGAAGGAAGTTTTGTTCCCCTTTGAGCTCCCGCTAATGCCGCTCTGTGCTCAAAAGGGCCGAATAGATTCTACTTAGAATGTTTTTTCTTTCTTCTTATATCTCCATGGAGGGGATGGTGGGTAAATCACCTCCTCATTAGCCATCGTACTGAACCACATTTCTTTGTAACATTTTCTACAACCAGAAGCGAGGACCATAATATTTGATGTGAGTTAGATACATTAAGACGCTTATGTGCCAACAGTCAGTGATCTTCCAAAGTGTTGGAAGGAAAATATTTTGTTATTTTGAGTTGAAACAAATGGATTTAGTGACTTGGAGAAGGAACTCGTGTCCGTGCCGCTGTGATCAAATCTGAAGTGGAGGTGAAATCCATCCAAGCTGTTGTTCTTTAGGGAAGCCTCATTATTTCTCATTAAGACCAAGCTGGACTGCTGGTTCCACAGATGGGAGTTCTGCGAGGCACAGCGGACGTCCAGAGAGTGTGTGTCTGTGTGTGTGCGCTCGTCTGAAAAAATGCATCTGTGTAGATGGATGTATGAATATGTCCTTGTTTATGCATCTGTGTTTAGGTGTGTGTGTGTGTGTGTGTGTTGCGTTGCGTGCATAATTCCTCTCTTGTGATTTCTGAATCCAAACCCAGGTGTTGTTCTCACATGCAGGTTCATAAAGGGTCACAGCATCAGATATCTACCAGTACTGCTTAGCTTTTTTTCCTTTTTATTTAAATAGTTTTATCAAAAAAATAATGTGCTTTACTTACTTTTAAAAGCAAAACACAATGTGACATATTTAAATGTTTTCCATCTATGACAACCAGTTATTCCTCTGTCTGCTTACCCTGTGTAGATTTACTTACATGATTTTAGTACAATGCGTCTTACAACTATGTGAATAGTTTTCCTTTTCATTTCGTTGGAAATGCATCAGGGCTAATTCAAGGCAAGTTGGTTTGCAAGCATGAATACACAAACCTACTTAGTTTACATCTCTAAAAAGACAAGAATATAATAGTGTAAAGAGTAAAAGAGGAAAGTCTCAAAAGACTGTGGCCCCTTCATTGCTGACCGGTGTGCTCAGCCAAACTGTCACATTGCCTACATGTATCTGTATATCATGAATCAGTTAAGGCCATGTTGATTTCTTTGCATGCAATAAACACTGCAAGACTGTACCTTGATTGATTGATTGAATCGATAATTCTCCTCCGCTGGCCGGCTCAGGTTTCAGAGCGGGAGGAGGCGCTGAAGTTGTTTGCGGGTCGGATCAGGATGCTTCCCGGCTATTTGGTTTTGAAGTTACACATCCAGCACCAGATCCCACTGAGGAGATTCTAGTTCCCCCACCGGGACGAGTTTAATGTCCCGGAGAAGGACATTTAGGCAGAGGAGGAGCGCTGGATGGAGAGATCAGAGGGAATATTTCATTATACAGATTTAGTCTAAATGAGGCACTTCTTAAAAATGTTTTTCTAACTTTTTATTTAAAAAGTGTGTCCTTCACTCAACTGAGTCATTACAGGCCACTTTCCCAGGCAGTTTGACTGCTTTTAGTGTCCAACCTGAGCAGGTAGCAAGCTGTGTTAATTGGATAATTGGCACTTAGAGAGGATATAAAAACTTAATACAGACCAAACCAAACAACATAATCACTCCCACTTCCACTTCCTTTATAAAAGTGAACTTCCAAACCCTAATTACAACTTCCACCCTCCGAGACAAAGAAAAGATCCAAAGGTAGCGTGTCACACAAAGAAGAGACTTTTGTCACTACTTTCTTTTTTTCCTCTTGCATAAAACCTTGGATAGTTCCAATGGAAATATGATCACACATATGTAGGTAAGTACAAATGTGCACAACAAAGTGCTCATACAGACATGCATGTACTAAGATCTTTGTGAGGAGACTTATTGACACAATGGCCTGACTTAAACCATGTCCTATATAATATAATATAACATAATATATTCTGTAAAGTCGGGGGAAGGAAAGACTCAGTAGGTGACTTAACCATCCCAAAAATAAAAGTCTGAGCTTCGTTCTGAACAACTTTTTGGTTTTTCTTTTTTTCTCCAATTGGCAATTTTTGCCAGCGCTGAAAAACACCTGCAGCCAGAGGGAGCGCCGCGTTCCACAGCGCCGGGAACAGATGGCAGGGCCGAGCAGAGATGGCCGCCTGCAAGAAAAACAGAGACTCTCACACTGACACTCACACTGAGATCCGGCAGAACACAGCACAGAGTCCCGACGAGAGAGATAGGGGGCGTGTGTGCCCGAGTGTGTGCACGCGGTTGTGTCCCTGTGTGTTCTCGTCAAAACGCCGATGAGGCGAGCTGTACTGACCACACACACTCACTTGCTGGTCTTTGCACAGCGACTATTGGATAGTGGTGGCAGGGGGGGGTGTTTGCATGTGCTTTTCTATCTTTAATAAGTGTCTAATGGACTTACCTCAGTGTGAGGGGGCGACCACAGATGCCAAAAGCAGGCAAACGGGTATTTACTAGTCATAGCGGGGACGGAATTATAAAACGTTCAGCAAAGCATTTTCCACCATTCAAAAGAGAAAATGTAATCCAGCGAGAGGCCTTATTGCGTAGCAAGGACACACTACAAAATGAGAGTTCTCAGCTCATACGGTGACGTGGGGACGGTTGGATGTAGGCAGTTTACTTTCTGAGACAAATGAGAAATGGACGGGGCTTTCTGTTCAGCAGAACAGGGTTACGTGAGATGCTACGTCAGTTTTAGACTGTCTGCTCAGTCCTCGGATGGAGGAAGTCCCACGTCAATTGATTCTAGAAACTGATGAGGAATTGTGAGTGTTTGGCAACCAAACGGCTTCTTTCATAACTGAAATACAACGCTCTTTTTTTAAAAGAAAAATAAGACGTAACCAAATGTGGAAAATCACTTTTCCAGTTTTTCACCTTTTCAGGGAACGATTCAATGCATCTGAACGTCGGATCACCATTCAAAATAACTTCACTACATTGAGAGCATTTGGATTGTAAGTGCTTGTGAGGACTTAGTGTGTGTGTGTGTGTCTGTGTGTGGATGAATGTGTGGACCATGGACAACATGCCTGTGTGTGCGTGTGTGTATTCAGTATTCTCCATCTGCCCAACTCGCTGCTTTAAAAAGACAAAAGCGACGCCACCGTGAGTGTCTTTTGTAAAAGATAAACAACAGCCATAAGAGTCAAAACAATAGTATTACGCTGCACGGACACCAGCGGCTTCTTTTATGAGGAACAAGCCGTCGCAATAGACAAGCGAGCTGAGAGCAGCTAATAAAACGTGAACAATGGCAGAGTGGTAGTCACTATAAATCTGTGTTGTGTCAAGAACAATCTGCTTAGCATGCCGTTGCCTCTTTTGTGTGCGCTGTAATTAGAATATTTATCATTGTGCTCCTCGCTGAAAGTGCTGCTCTATTAGGACACTGTCTGAATTGAAACTAGGGCCGACTCGTCAAACCGTGGTCAGGATTTCCCCCCATTTTTAAACTGTCCACTCTTTATCAATGACGAGATGAAAGTTCACAGTTCAACGTTTCCATTTTGCGAGTTTTCCTGGAATGCGCTTTCCCCAGTGTTCCCAGTTAGCATGAATGTTTGACGGTTGAGTTGATCCGTACGGATGTAGCCTGCAGGAAATTGTATAGAGAGGGAACGTCGCATCTTTCGGCACACGGAGCCACTCAACAAAAAAAAAGAAAGAAAACAGGATTCAAAACATACACGTCAGCCCCGCTTGTTAAACAGCCTTTACGGACTCTGATTTGAATAGAAATTTGACTTAAAATAACCTGGTAATTTCTGTTACGAGTCCTGTGTGCAACTGCTTTTAAAATTGGATGACTAAATTATTAAAGCGCCCGTTGGCAGCCGACCAGCTCGGCCCAAAGAGGCTTGGAAATTGGTTGGCACTGACTTGAGATCCAAATGGGAGCACCACTAACCTTGATGTGCGTCATTTATAAAGTGGAGGAGGGCACCGCCTTCGATCAGAAACCTCTGTGGCCCATTTGTGACATATTTGAGATATTTTGTGGACGTAATCCGAGAGCCTGTTGTCAGCTTCTGAAACTGATCCGAGCCCAGCTGGCATGGATCAAAATGTGCTGAATCTTGATCAAATCATAAACTAACAGATTAACAGAAAAGTCACTGACGAACGTGACGTTTTCTCACAATCGCTGCTAAAAAAAAGCGACAGATCCCGTCCCGCCACCCCCGGCTCGCCGCCCTGCTGCGTCGAGACGTGACCTTGTTTCCTGTTGAGGTGCAGGCTGGTTACTTTGCACTTGAGTCACTTTGTGCTGCTCTGTTTACTCTGCGGTTGTTAACTCTGTGACGCTTCCTCTCCCTTTGATTCCCTGTGAAACACACTTCTTGTCGACGTACGATTCGCACACAGCTCTGCTTTGATGCTGGCTGAATACGGTCACACATCATTCGTCTGGCTTTCATCTTTCTGCCCTCTCATTCATTTCCCGCGTAATATTCGGTCCGGGTTTTGCTGCCAAAATGCCGGCCTCTATTACCGACCTGTGGCCGGCGCCCACACAATCAACTGTCGCGCAATTGATCAGCTTTCTTTTTCCTTTTTAACTCTTGTGTGTCTGCCTGTCCTCGCACTGTTATTATCCTCGCCAGGTTGCGTCTCGCTGCAGGGCACAAAAGAAGACGTTATAACCTCCGGGTTTTCACTGCTTGTTTATATAAAGGCTGCTGACTTGAATGGAATTTTGTTTTTTCTTATTGTTTTTTAATGAGACGAACAGGGATACATCGCCTCCCTCTGAAACTATTCTTCCTTTTCTCACAGCCTCGTGATCTCTACCAACACTCTCCCACAATCTTTCAACTTCCCTATCTTCTCCACCCAGCCTGGAGCCCCGCACGACCCTGTGCAGATAAAGACCCTCTACCCCAGCACCTTAAGGCTCCTTTCCTCCTCCGTAGCAGAGGGTTTTTAGCTGGGGGCATGAGGGTCCTCTTCAGCCACACTGTCCACTACACATTACTGACCTTCAACCTTCTAAACTGGCCCAAATAATGTGTGACTCTAAACTCCAGTTTTTTTTTCTCTGTTTGGTTAGTTTGGTGTCACTGAATTTCAAAGCATCTCACTAGCATCAGTCGTCAAGCCTCCCTGCGATTTACTGTGGCGACACACTGCGCGTGTCTAAAAATCCCGTCTTTGTTCTCTCTGACCCAGGAGCTGCTTGTCCATCGACGGGTCTGCTGCCGTCCTGGTTTCTGAGCATTGGTCGTAATGCGCAAACGTGATGAATGAATGTCAATAAAACTAAAGCTAATGCCGTGATGTGACTAACTTTAATCGGAGCAACATGTTGCAAGAGTTTAGTGGCTAAAGAATTTTTTTCCCAGTCACATTATTTCATTGACGTGAGATCTGCCTTGAATGTAGCTATTTATTTTATTCATGATTGCATGAAAATGAATTCATAGAAGAAGCTTGAAAGGGTCTCGAGGTCCATCACACAGCAGCCAGTGAGTGCTTCAAGAGGAATACTCAAAGTCATGAATATGTGTATTTAGGGGATGTCTTGTATTCAAAACACTGAGAGCTTCCATGAAACAAACAAAAGTTGCCACAATCAGGTGATTTCAGGCGTATAAACAGATTTTTCCGGATCCGTAACCAAGCAAATGTTGTTGTCTTCTTTTGTCTACTTCATAAATACCCCGGTTTTATTTGCCTTTATTTTACCTTTTATTAATTGTTGTAATTGTTTTCTGTTGTTGTTAATTTTTTTTATTTGTTGATCTAGAATCCCTGCAACGAATACTGAGGCAAGAATAACAGACTAAATACTACAGTAGATTACCCTTTTCTGTACTAACACAGCATTGTAAAGCACACAGGATGTATTGTTAATGAAAGTTGTGTAACTATACGTAGCCCGGGCACAAAATTAATTTAGAATATGGAATATAGATTTCTAAAATCCACTCAAAAGGTACGGTAAAAATAGATACAGGTGGATAAGTATTTCAATAAGACACTTATATTACACATTAAAGGTTGGAGTTATGCAAATGAGTATAGTTAGTAGTAATAGTTGATATGTGCGAACTGCTGGCAGTGAAATTTGTCAATCTTTGTTCTGTCTTGGTTTAATTGGTTGGCTCTGATACTAACAGCCAAT